CTAATTTTGGTTGATTTGCAAACGCGTCCTTAATGCACCTGGGTGGAGCTGAGCAGTTGGCTGCCGCGTGCCCGCGTGCCGTTTGGTCTTCCCCACCGAGGGCTTCCATATGATTGATTATTATATTTTTTATTTATTTATATTATTTTATTGATATTTGTATATTTATCATTTTCATTTATATATTTATACAGCCTATAAAATGTTCCAATGTAAAATATAACTAATATTTCAGAAAGAATCATTAATCTCTACACATTTGTAATAAATTCACTTGCACACACCCCCGCTATGAAATCTGTTAAATGACTCATTGTATTATTTGGTTTACTTGTCAGTTGACTCACTTGGCAACTGCAGTTTTTTTTAGTTATTATTAGGACGACGTTGCTGCCCATCTATTGATTTGTTTCTCTTTATCGTTCTTACGACAGCCACAGGACGATATGGGGAAGTAGATTTTGACACCTGCCAACCTTTATTTCTCGATTTCTCCAGAGATTGACTGGTAGAAAATTCTCTCACACATAAAGTCTACTAATTGTAGCACTTAATTTAAGGTGTCACAAGTCTTAATAAGGATTAAATAAATAAAATAACGATGACAGAAAGTTAGGTATAAAATCGCTTTATTAAAACACACACAAATACATACAACATTCATACAAAAATCCACTTATTGGTAGGGCTAAACACATTTAAGCATTTTTAGGTTTTCAGGATAATCCTTAGAGCACAGAAGAGTATTAATCTTGAAGCTAACTATGTTATGTCATATAATTACAAATTTTATGATATTCCACCGAAGGTTCTTGTCCTACCGGCAACGATGAAAGAGAAGCGAGTAGAGCTAGAAACTAGTTAAAAAATAGTTTTGATGCTGGGCTATAAATGATTGTACAAGATGTTCTAAATTCGTAGTAAATGCGTGCACTCAAAACCGCACTGTAAAGTAAAATGTTCGTTCTGACAGCCAAGCGAACATCGCTGAGCGAGTTTTATCTTTGATAGCCCCTGTCGCTGTGAGCGACAAACTGGTGGAGAAAGTTCTCGCCGGTAACTATTAATCTAAGTATCTCTTTTATCGACGCGGGCTCTATTATCGAAGCGAGAAAATAGTCGATGATAATCGCTTTCTAGTCGGCGGTGGGACAAGTGCCAAATGTTAGTTGCCTTAATTATCTTTTAATCTTATTATTGACTTGTATAATAATTCCATTTAAATACAACATCATACATTAAACTATGCTCTAAAAGATTATCCTAACAGATTACTAAAACAAAATTGCTTACATGATGTTATTTAATTGAACCATGATGGATAGTTATTTTCCACTTACCAAATGTCACTAGTTGTAACTGAAGTTAAGTTACGGAGGATAAATGAAGGAGAACCATCTTATGTGTGGGACAAGTAGAGTGTACAGCTGTAAGCAGAACATTATAGTTCAAGAACCCACCAAAATAGCGCTACCGTAACAAGAGGAAATGATTTAGCAGTTCTACGGAGTGAAGTGTGCCGAGTTGAAATACTTAATATCTCTGGTGACTAGTGTAGTTGAGAATGTTGCAGTTTAAAAAACGTCAACTATTTACGTAGTTCAAAGTAATTTAGTAAATATCATCACTCTCTCAGTACTTTCATAGGTTAAATTTTTGTAAGCTGTTGATAATACTTTTTAGTGATCTTATTGTTTTTATTCTTGTAAAGCTTAAAACATTAAACGATAATCGTAAAAGCTTGTAAAGTGAAAAGTTGTCCAAGTGAGCGAAATTTAAAAAATAAATAAAATGATATGTCCCCACAATCTCCGTCTTTTTTCCAACCAACAGTATGTAAAATAAATTTATATGAATTATTATTTATTCAATGAACAATTTTTCACTTTTTTAATTATCTTGATATTTTGGCGCTATCTTTAAAATTTCCCTCCTTGCTACTGAAGCGCCATCCTAATTGACCGCTTCTCGACGGACACTTTTTCATACACAGAGATGGTCCTCCATACCTTTACCCTGTATATACACAGTGCCGACGTGAGTGACAAGTTGCATTTCAAATAAGGTTTTTCGACTCAAATAACTCACCTATATCCATAAAACTATGGCTGAGTAATTATTTAATTTTTGGAATACTTTGGATTATCCTAATCTAATTTTATCAAATATTTTAATATATTATTATCATATAAAATTTATCAAATATTTCAGAAAAAAAAGTGCGTTATATTTTTTTAACAATTTAAATTTCCCTCTATGAAACATGTTAAATATATCACCTCATTTCAAAGTGGTGTCGATTTGATGGCAGAAAGTCGTGGATGCCCTCATTAGTGGAATTGCAACAAGTAATTCAAAGTTATTGCATCCTTACAAATTAAATAAATCTTAAATAAAATAATAATAGTTACCATTCGGTTTCAAAAGATACAGATATATCTTAACATAATGTTATAAAAATAATTTTGGTTATTCAAGTTAATGCCATTGAAGTTGTTGGTGATGATGAGATACAAGTGAACAAATCTAAAAATGAGCGAATACTCGAGTAAACAAATAAAATTAAAATAGGAAAACAAACCAAAAAATAAAATATCATTGTTCTTCCCAACCGTCAACTTATGTGTTGCTTATCAGTCTGTTAAGCGTAGCAACTGTGGTAAGCATCCCCCTTATAAGGCAATCTATGGGGGAGGCTTGAATATCAGTGGATTTTTATGGCCCGTGATGAGCAAATGATTAACTGTTCTTTAAATTTCATTTTGATTTTTCAAACTTTATAAATAATAAAATAACAGTTTAATGACTAAAGTTGAACAAAAAAGAGAAGGTATTTATATAAAATTTAGTTCCAAACAATATAAGTACCTCTTTTCGCTTTCTTAAAGAATAGGTGAATTTATAGGAATTTAAAAAAAATCTGCGTAAAATATATGACATTTGATATGACTTTAGCAAGGGTTACGAACTTCGTGTTACTTTACGTTACGTTAACTTATAGGATTCAAAGATAATGTAATCACCCTTTTTTACCCGCCTGGACAAAAATAGGGTGTAACATGTGAACAGAGTAGAAGCCTATGGCACTGAAATTTTACAAAAAATAAAAACAAAAATGTTGAATTAAACGTTTGAAAAAAATTTTTGAACAAATATTTTGCCTTTGAACCTATGTCCCTGTAAAGTGACAAGGTAAAAGATGCCTTAAAGATGATTAAATTATTGTTTTAGAGCGCTCGTAAAGTAAGGCGGATATGATTTGAATTTCGATAGATTTTAATTGATTCATTTAATTCATATTTTTTGTAAAATTTCAGTGACATAGGCTTCTACTTCGTTCACACGTTACACCCTATTTTTGTCCAGACGGTAAAAAAGGTCGTCCAGTACATATTATTCTTAATTGTGTTGGATTAACAATTTGACAGAATTAAATAAAAATTATCCGATAAACTGTATCCTTGAAGAGAGCAAAGGCAGCATAAGTTTTGTCACAGTCTTGATAGTTTTATTTAGTTTTTATTGGTTATTTAAAACGGTCATTGCGCCCGACTTGAAATCCATTGGATATTTTTCAGTATAACCAGTCTGTTGGGCGGGAGTTGATAAATATTATAAAAAAGGCCCACAATAGCGACTGTCGCAAACACAGTCTGATAGTACAAGGCTCGCAGCTGTTGTTATGCGCGAAGCCGGGCGGCCATATTGACATAGCTGTCAGCAAAAATAATTAGCGGGCAATTTGTATTAAGTTTAGGATCCTGGCATTTTTTTAAATTCTCGCTGAACAGACTAAAATAAAAATACGCTGACAGATTTGATATAGGAGCTAAATAATCAATGATAAATTCAATAAAACATAAGACAAATTCAATGAATAATAACTTAAGCGGTTAATTGAAATTGAAAGTATAAACAGTATTTAAATCGTTATACACATTTTTATAACTCGGAACCTAAATCCCATGTTTCTGACTCATCCTGGTGTCATAACAAGATCACACTATTTTTTACAAGCATCTTTTTGCCTTATATGTTACTTTATATGCCCTGCGTGCAGAGCCTGCATGGGGTACTAGAAATCGGTGGCTCACATTCTACTTGATTGTTCAGCGATAGTCCTGCTTCAGAGGTAAGTATCTCGGATCGTCGAAGTCATTAGTAATGTAAAGAATTTACTAAAATTCCTCGAGAAGGTCGGGGGGCTCGAATAATATTTAATTATTGACCACACGGAAAATACTAGCTTATATGTGAAGTTGTAGACACCAGCTCGGATCAATTATTAATCAGTCCCAGGCTTCAATAATAAATAAAAGAAACTAGAAATTATTTATGTTTTACCTTTCTAATAATTATGTTTAACACAATTTGAAAAACTAAAGTTTTTGTAAAATAAGGTAACATCATTTATTGGATGTATTTTTCACATTTGTCGATATTTTATTTATACAGAATAAAGCATAAGAAAAATATATTAAGAAATTATTTTTCAAAGCAATATGAAAGAGATCAAACAATTTAAAGTATTGCAATATATCATTATATAGGAGAGAGGCGTACAAAATGACATAGGTGGGTCAAATGACATACCTACTTTTCTCCGAAACCACAGACTTATTTCTCACAATGGCTTGTAAAGGATCGATTAGTAACAGGTCGCAACCTGTGGCAGCACCAGTCACGTTCGTTGGGCCGTGTGGTGCGGACACATGTTTGTTTAATTTTTGCAGTCACGAGTTATAAGCAGGTGGATTTTGTTTCTCGTACAAGTAAATAGTTTTTACTTTAATTTGTTTTTATTTAGAATTTATTTATTGTAATTTTACTAAATAACTCCGAGAATTTTGGAAACTCAAAATTCTAGTAAAATTTTTAGTTATTGTTTTCTAATGTTGAAGGTTATGAAGTGGACAAAATGGCATACACCTTGTTCGGGTAAAATAGCATACTATGTCATATGACCCACCTTTTTTCTTTTTTCCAGATAATTGTACATCATGCCACGCAATTATTCTAGAAAAACAGACCGACAGGATTGGGATAAAACCTCCATGGAAAAGGCTATTGAAGCTGTAAAGAATAATGAGCCCATATTGGCTTCTAAAGTGTTTAACGTCCCACAATCGACTCTTAGAAGACATGCACTGAAACAAAATAAAGTCTTAGCGGATTTAAACACGTACCTTTGTTTTAGGTATGGGTAGGTACAGGAGTGTCTTCACATATGAAATGGAACGAGAACTTGTAGAACATATAAAATTACTAAAAACGAGATTGTTTGGATTCACAAGAAAGGAAGTTTTGGAATTGGCGTACCAGTTTGCAGACGTTAATAATATTCCTCATAACTTCAACAATAAAAAAAGATGGCAGGCAAAGAATGGTTGGCTGGATTTCGATGCAGACACCCGGACATATCCTTGAGGAAACCTGAAGCGACTTCAGCTGCAAGAGCCCAAGCCTTCAACAAGCCCCAAGTAGCACTGTTTTTCAACACTAACCAACATTATTCAGAGCAACAACATTTCTCCGCATAGGCTCTACAACGTCGATGAGTCAGCATTATCAACTGTCCAGAGACCCCAAAAGGTCTTTGCTACTACTGGGCGTAAGCAGGTTGGGGCTTTGACTAGTGCTGAAAAGGGGTCTCATGTGACAATTGTTTGTTGCATGAGTGCAAATGGCCATTTTATCCCGCCGTGTTTAATTTATCCTAGAAAAAATATGAAACAGGAGTTGATAGACGAAGCTCCTATCGGTACTATGGGTATTGCGCAGGAATCAGGTTGGATGACAACAGCTGTATTTTATAAATGGTTGGTGCACTTTCAGTTGCATGTAAAAGCGAGTCTTGATAACAAAGTGTTTTTAATAGTTGATGGACATATCAGTCATAAAGGTATTGAAAGCTTAACATTCGCAAAAGAGCATGGAATCATTATGGTGTGCTTGCCACCTCACTGCACGCACCGCATGCAACCATTAGATGTATCTTTCTATGGTCCATTGAAGACTTATTTTAATCAAGAAGTGAGCACTTGGTTAAAGAGCACGAGGTAGAGTTGTTACTCACTTTCAAATAGGCGCAATACTCAACAAAGCTTATGGCAAAGCAGCAACGGTTCAAACTGCCGTCAATGGATTTCAAAAAACTGGTCTCTGGCCTGTTGATCCATACATATTTCCAGATTATTTGTTTGAGCCTGCTGAGACGACAAACATTCACATGCAACAAGATTGGGTAGAGCCCGAAGAAGATTCAACGGCAGCAGAAAACCTATGCATACCCTCAGCGGGTCCATCTCAGGTAGAAGCAAGGAGTTCGACATCACTAATAATTGCAAGCACATCAGCCGCAGACAACCCACGTCCACTCTCAGTAGTCCAATCTAGAGACAAAGCTACTGCAATACCTACGACACCCACATCATCTAAATTGATACTCCAAGAACTATCTCCAGCGCCAAAAGGAATTAATGTGGCTGGACAAGGTAAAAGAAAACCACGCAAGAAACCAACAGTATTGGTGTTAACTTCAACGCCAAATATAGAAGAGGCAAAAGCAAAATCAGCTCCTCCACCTGTTCCAAAGAAAAACACGAGAAAGGTTACAAAAGCTCTGGATTTTAGTTCCGACAGTGAAAATGATTTCTCTTCCTTACAAGCTCACACTGAAGCCGGAGATGATGATGAAGATTGTCCTTGCATTTATTGCAATGACCTCTACTCCAGGTCCAAGCCAAAAGAGGTCTGGCTAAAGTGCTTGAGCTGTAAAAGTTGGGCTCATGTATCATGTGCAGATGTTCCGAAAAATACAAAACGTTTTACGTGTGAACTCTGCATGTAATCGACTGATTTTCATAAAAAATTTGGTATGCCATTTTGTCCACACCACGTGTGTCGTTTTACCCGCCTAGGGTGGACATAACGGTTTTTGTTCAAGTTTGAAAAAATAATAATAATTCTATTGTTTTTGCACTAAGTTGATTGATCTCTATAATTTTAATGGGTAATGAACCAAAGAATATATAGTTACTTAAAGTGTTGACTATTATTAATAAATATAGATTTGATGACTGATTTTATAACTAGTATATCATTTTGTACGCCTCTCCCCTATAACAAATAGCTTAAAAAACAGGCAGAAGGAGAAGCAAAAATAACATGAAGTTATTTATTTAAATTAAATATCAGTCAAAAAATGGGAAATATAGCATATGGTTCTATTATTAAGAAAATTCGTTCATCTCATCTTTAGTATCAATTATAAACTGTTAAAATAATTTTGTAAATTTCTGAAGTTGGAAATACGTTCAGAAACACGAAAAAGTTAAAAACAAATCGGGAATGTAATATTGACAGTGCATATAATAGTAGCAAGTGTTAAAACTTTCTCTGAACGCATATTTTTCACAGGAAGAGGCAACTGTAATATCAATATAGCCTCTTTCTAGAATGTTCTTGTCTCTTCTGGTACCACATAATACCCAGTACGACTATTACAATGATTACTATGGCTACAAACATCATGTATAGGAAGGTTTTGACTCCAGACATGGCGGGTTTAGAGTCTTCCACTCTATCTCTTGGGGCCTCGAAAGATGCTGCTGATGGGATAATGTGTGACCTGTCTTCATTTTTGTTTTGCTGTAACAAATAGAATTTTTTCTGATTTTTGCGCCCGTATTGGATTCAAAAAATGCCACTTAATATACAGTATTTCAAGGGAAGTTTGGTAGCTTTTTGGAAGTTATCAATTTCACATAATATATTATAGTGATACAAATTTAGCAGCGAACTTAGAGTAGCATTTTTTTTTAAATATTAAAGACAAGAAGTTTTTGTCCAAGTTACTATGGAACAATTAAAACACTTATTTGTTCTTAACTACCAATATTTTAACAATAATGCAGTAAAATGTGTGATGATTGCTTATTTCGCCAGACCAGAAAGAACAAACGATTTGTGTCTATATAAATATCGGTTTCAACTGGGATCCTAAAAGCTTATAATTAAAATTAAAAGCCATTATATTTAAAAGATTCTCACCGATTCCAGAAGATCCAGTTCATACATCTTAATAGCAATAATGTCATGATTGTCACTCAAGTCTCCAGTAGTTGCAGAAGCTCCGAAGAAATAACCTGTAGGCAACAGTACATTCTCCACTTTGAAGCATTCCTTCCAAGCATTCTTGCCTTCCAAGTCCGTTGACACTGGAAAATAATAAGTAGTTTTATGTTTAATATTATTTGATCAGCTGATGGGGAAGAAAGGTACTGGAGTGACAGCCTTGTACAAGGTGTAGCACAACCTTCTACTTGATGGGGTATCAATCTAATCAGATATGTCATAATCATTGAATGGATTTAGAGGATTCGGGACTATGCTTTAACATTGTTTTTTTTAGTAACTATAACCAACGCCGTTCAGCCATCCCGGCGCCGTTGGGCTACCGTCAGAAACTTAAACACGTCGACGTAGGTGTCCGGCTACTTTCAGCGTCGTACGGATGCGATCAGCTAATCGGCAAAGTGCTCGTTTTGTCGTCGGCCGATGTCGCGACGCGTCATCAGTAGTGTTGCCCAAAATCGGTCTTGGTCTTGTTCTTGCATTTTTGCAAGACCAAGACCAAGAACAAGATCGCCTAATTTTAGCAAGACCAAGACCAAGATTGACCGTGCAAAATTTGAGCAAGAACAAGACTAGGCCCGCGAGACTCTTGCGTCTTGCAGTTAGGAATGAGTGTCGTTTCAAGGAGTATAGGAGTTCGGGTATACGTCTAGGGACTCTATGAGACGCAAAAAATATATAAAAAAAAATTGGAAAATTGGACTTAGGCGCATTACGAACAATACCATAAACATACATAGCGGATGAAAATATCCATTAAAAGAAAAAACAGTGCATCCCTAGTTTTGACCATCGGCACTTCGATAGTGCGCGACGTCTTGTTGTCGGCATCATCAAAAGTCGAATACTGACCTGTCAAAGAAATTTTGCAGCTATTCGGAAGTACAAGGTCAAGATACATGCGCCGGCGGCTTCTATTGATATCGCATTCAATCGTCGCCGCCGCGCCGCACGCACTACATTTGACACTGTTTGAATGCCGCCACAGAGTACATGTTCCAAAGAATAAAATAAGTTTCCGGGTGCTCAGAATGGACACGAATACATTATGCTGATCTCGCAAGGAATATTGTAATTAGATAATGGTAAGGATAGGTAGATACCATAATAATTTATTCTAGTAAGTAATTATTATTATATTAACTATATGGGTTTATAATAATTACTTACTATTATTATTATTACCAAAAAAAAACCTACAATACAAGAGAAGACATGTGTCCAAAAATTTACTTTAACTTTAATAGATAAACATGTTCAATAAGTTCACTGCAAATCTCGATTTTTGGAAGTGTGTGTTTTTGAACACAAAGTGTTCGAATATGTCGTCACCCATTTGATAAATATTGTAGACACTTTTAACACACTTGAAACGTGTAAACATTTTGTACAATGCTAATCGAATAATATAAAAAGTGTGCATATTAAATAAAAAGCGTAAAATAAGATCTATGTACTTTTTAGGAGCCCGAGTATCTCTTAGAGAACCGTTTAAAGAAATTGATTGCATCGAATTGATGTAAATAATAGTGATTTGCACAATTTTAATAGTAGAAATAAAAATAAAATCACAATACCTGCTTTCCGGTTACACAAAGTATATAATGCGTTCTTGGGTAGCGATATACGCTTTTATAATAAGATTCCAAAAGAAATGTTAAATCTTTCACCTTTTCAATTTAAGTCAGACAAAAATGCTTGGAACTGACCTCTCGTACTACACAGGACTAACTAGAAATTTCTAAACCGATTTGGTATCTACATATACATTTGACATTTTATGTTTGACTTATCGCTTTAAATAATTATAGAACTATTGTAAAAATATTTTGAAAAGAGCAACTACTGAGTTTCTTACTTGCTTCCATGATTCTTTTCAGTAGAACATAATATACACAATTTTATTTACATATTTGCATTTAATTTTTACGTGGTAAGTGGCAACGCATCTACTTTATTAATCTTCTGAAGAATTATTAATTTTATCAAAGGATGCCGAACTTTCCTTTGTCGGTCTTTCGGCGTGTACTTACAAATAGTAGTATTTATTTTAATTCCAGTCATTCTCAATTGAGCTTTGCTTCGAGTCTAATGTATTAATTGTTTTTACTCTAATCCTTGTTGTTCTCGGAGTGATAAGTTTACAATTTGAAATGAGTGACGAAGAGTCGAATAGTTCTAGTCGGAGTAGTGAGAGTTGGAGTTATAGATCTAAAAGACCTAAAAGTAAATTTGATGAGTTATTCGACATAATTCATGCATCCCAAATTGCTTTGTGTAAATTATGCCAACATAAAAAGGTTGAAATAAAAATGAAAAACAGAAACACTTCAGGCTTAAGGAAGCATCTAATATCTTTCCACAAAAAGGAATCACAAATATTTCTTCCTGAAAAACCAAAATTAAGTGGAGATATCACAAGCTTTTTTAGTAACCACCGGAAAAAGTGGACAGGTAAGAAAAAATATACGTATCACACAATTACATAACACATAGATTACGTAACTAGCGGTCGCCTGCGACTCCGTCCGCGTACAATATCTGATTTCCTATGAGATTTTGAAATTTTCTCGCTGCAAAAGTCTTACCTAAGTATAAAGAGGCTATATAGGTAAAGCTTAACTATGCAAGTATTTATTATTTAAAACTAATAAAGTAAATGTCGATCTTCATATCTATACTTTAAAAATATAGGACTTGCATGTAACCATTTGACCCCAATTTCACCCCCCTTAGGGTTAGGATTTCGTAAAACAGCTTATTCAGGATTTTATTATTGAAAACTTATAACTTTAATGCCAATTTTCGTGTCTCTAACTTTAAAAACGTAGGACTTTCATACAAACTTCCAACTCCCATTTCACTCCCTTATGGATAGATTTTCTCAAAACCGTTTCTTAACTGATCTTTATGCCATAAAAGGAACCTACCTTACAAACTTCAAGTTTGTATGTTTTATAGTTCCTGAGATATCGTTATAGTCAGTCAGTGAGTGGTAGTATATATATATATATATATATTATAGTGTTAAATATGTATTTATAATTCACTCATATTTTCATTTGTTTTTATAATCGGCGAGACACATGATTTACTGTTTTATTTCACTCTGAAAATAGCAGTGACAACATCACGACAGCTACAGTTGATTACATGGTTAAAAAATATCTTCCCTTCTCATTTTTCGATGACGAAGCTACACAAGTATATTTTCGATCAATTTGTTACACAAGTATATTTCCTAAAAGGTCCACACTTAAAAAGAAGGTCAAAGAACGGTTTGAAGAGCTTCAATTGTCTAAATTATATATATTATAATTTAGACAATTGAAGTATAAATTCAATTCATCTAAAATGCCATTTACCATTGATGGATGGACGTAAATTGCTGGTAGTAGTTACTACGAGGTCACTATTCATTATATAGACAAAGAATGGAAGTATCGATCTGTAGTTCTTGATTTTATACCATCACGCGGTCGACATACTGGGGAAGATATTGCAACGATTTTCCACGAATGTTTATTGGAATATGAAATAATTGATAAAATACAGGGTATCATGGTCGACAACGCAACTGCAAATACCAAATGTATGTATGAATTGGACAAACAGCTGCCACATTTTGATTCAGACAATCAACATTTCCGGTGCTTTGCTCACATTGAACCTTGGTGTACAAGATTTATTAAAGACCTTAGCATTACACAGTGAAACTGACAATAAGGGACAAGAACAGCAGTATGAAGATAATGAAGACGAAACTGAGGAAGATGAAGAATATGCGCCAAATATTGCCGACTCACGTACAGCTATAACAAAATTACGCAGTATTTCCAGTAAAATAAAAAGAAGTGAGATATTGAAGAGGAAGTTTCAGTCTGCTTGTAAAGCAGCTAGCGTGCCATCACATCTGAACCCCATACTCGACTGTCCAACGAGATGGAATTCCACACATGATATGATTGGATTTGGTTTAAAAGTGAGAACTGGCATTAACATATTGTGCACTTCTGTCACCGAATTGAATGATTTTCAACTTTCAATTCGGATTTTTGAAAACATAGAAATAGGTTAAGTGATGAGTCAGCCAGATGGTTACTTTGTATTAATTCTTGGTCAAAAGAATTAATATAAAGTAACAGTAATGTCAAAGCTGTTGTGTACTGTTATGTAATTTAATTTGTATTGTATTTTATTTTTTTATTTAAATAAATGGTAAATTGTATAACTCTTTTATTCCATTTCATATAA